TCGTGGTACACTTTGTGGAACACGAGGAGTCGAAATTAGAGTTTACAAAAAAAAGGGGGGAGCAAGGAGGTATGTACGCAGTAAGCAGCATGCTTATTTGTTATATGGCACAATTACTTATACAATTTTTTAAAGTCGCGGCAAATAGGAAATTGTAGATATCAAATAGTATTAATAAGCAATTTGTTTTTGGATTCACAGAAGAGCAGTTCTTGAGCGAAACAGAACGGATAATTTAACGTCTGATCTGCTTTGGCAACAAAAACTCTCAGACATGCCTCTGTTAATGCATGAGTAATTATGTAAAATGCGTAATATCTTCCACCTTCCCGACGAATGTCCAGACGTTCGTTAAGCATTCATAGCGCTGACCAAACCCTCATCATCAAGTACGTTGCTGAAAGTGCATCTTAAGCGATGGCCGATATTTGCTTTCGAAGGTAGGGGAAGGACAAAACAAAGCCAAGCCTTAACGCGGGTGTAAAAACTAACCCCAGACGTCAAATTGACAGTCAACCTCTGTTATCCACTATAACATCCAGAGTACAATATATCTGTAGTATTTTATGTTTTTTGTTTCTTAATTACATATAAAAGATGGTTAAAGCTCAGTTAATGCAACAAGACTAAACAGCAATTACACACTATTGATAAATAATTTATATGTAAATGGGATTCATATTTCAAAAAATAAGTCTTTTTTGTAATGTTTTCATGAAACACAATTTAACTTTAATTACACTGAAATGCAATTTCAATCGCAGAATAATAAAAAGATATTAAGTTCGTGCCTTTACTGTTTATACAAGTATGGTCTGTGTTGAAGTAAAGCGCGATAGCTTGACGTAAGAGAGAAAGTACTGAGTCTCAATTATAATATTTTTATCCTTAGTCTGAAGAAAATGAATTTCTCGCACAATAATAATTTAAATTTCTCAACATTTACTCATATACATTACACATACATACAAGCATCAGAAAAATCCAAAATCGATAACTTGAAGTAGTCTCTTTTTTATCGAATATGTGTGTTTACGAGCTTTAAAGTTCTTATTTGCATGTGTGTAATGTTTTCCCCAGAGAACCAGGATTTGCTTTTCATCGGTTTTCACTCGGAGATCGTTGGCGGTTAACCCGATAAGTTGCAACTGCACTCGCTCTTTTGGAAAATTCTTAAGCATTCTCGGAGGCCAAAGTAAAATGGCTAAACTTCTATTGATTTCGCATTATTGCCGTATCTTTAATATGCTATCGATTTCAAGAAGCTGTGTTGTATTCCGTTCCAAAACTCGAAAAATTACTTTTACAATTCTTTGAAGTAGCAACAAATTTTAATTTATTCCTTATCGGAGATATTTATCTTGGATTGGAAAAATCTCGGAAACATTCACTGAATATGGGTTTCTGATTTCAATGCTTTATGAATCTTATTGGCTTTATAAGTTCTAAGAACATATGTCAGTATTTCAACAGCTTAAGTTTTAATAAGAAAGGTTTAAATTGTAATAACTATTCATAATTCTTCAGATTTCTTTTATCGTCATTAGCTTTATTAATGCATTACATTTATTTAAAATAGATTTCTATATTTTTTTAACTTATTTGTTGACCTGGTCTCAGACATCTTAGAAAGAGTTATAAACTTTATATAACCAATAAAGTACATTAATTTATTTCTTGATTTTTTCCTTCGATTTGCACCACTATGCAATGTTCCGAATGAAGACAATAATTCCTAGAGCGTACTTTGACAACACCCCAGATCTGCGTTTAAAGCCGTGCAGCTTTTATTCTCTGTCCGATCGATTATTTGCGCTCTGCTTAAAAAGGCTAATTTAGGGCCTAGACCTGTTAAGCGGATTTTAATAACATTCATACGATTTAAATACTTCTTTGAAACGCATCACGCGAGCAGAAGTCAGCATTTTTTTCTAAGTTTTAATAACAAGTTGTAGCAAATAAATATTTCAGTTAAACTTTATTTTTTGCTTTGTACTTTATAGTCTTTTATACTTAACTGCGAAGACAAAAATGTTGTCAAAATAAATTAAGAGCTGGCTTTTCAGGAATCTGCATTTTCTCATATAAAGGAAATTATTAGCCCAAAGGGGCAATTTGCCCAAAATGGCTGCTAACTTCGTTTTGGCATTTTGCGTCGTCCATTATAAAAAGCCGTTTCACTTTTCAAATTTTTACAGGTGACAGGTGAGAGCAGGTTCGAACACCCGGACGGCTTACATAGACTAGTCGGGTATCGTCCGGATCCCGCAACTATCTGAAGCTACACTCCGAAAACAATACAAGGGCAAAATATAGATTTTTCTGCGTGCGAAATTAAACATTTCCTGGATACATCGCATGCTAACACATTGCTACATATACTTGCTACAATATACATTTCATAATATGCATTGCGTTGATCATTGCACTGTACTTAAGGCACATTTACAACTCAATGCTACACTTAATACACTATATATTCTTTGCAACATATTACGCTGAACATTATTCTTGAGAATTCAACATAGATTCTGAAAAATGTAATTGTTTAAAACTGACATAACTGGATTATATAGTACATAACTTCGTTATATAAAATAGATTTAAATAAATAACTTGATACAACAGATAAATAAAATAAGAGCTCTTAAATAAAGAGCAAAATTGCACATTACAAACAATTTACACATTTTGCACACAGAAATCCTCTTTGTTTACTTTGTGCTGTACTTATAATATAAAACATACAGAGGTACTATTCGGTTTCGAGGGCCGTAAAAAATCGCCAAACTATTGTTGATGCCAATGCTGCCAAAAATAAGTGCGGCAACCCTAATACTTGCGGCTAGAAAGGAGGTATAATAGTAAATAATTATCTAAGATTGATGTTTTAATTCAGATGAAAGGTTAATTTCCTATAATACTTTTTTATTATTATAATTTATATGAAAAATGCTAAACATGACTGAATGGAAGCAAAAGAGTAAATAACTATTTCAGATCATTATTATAATTTATATAAAAATTGCTAAACATAACTGAATGGATGCCTGCATCGCTTTTCGCTACCGACTTATCGCTAAAGCATAATTTCATCATCTCGTTGGTTGTTCAAACGTAATTTTCTATAATGAACGATGCCTTTTCTTTGAAATATTCTCAGATAAAGTGCAGAATCGCTCACTTATATTTGTTTGCCGCCTTTTACAAGGGTAAAAACAATTGAATTTTTTGCCAATTTTCTGGGATTACTTTTTAAGTGAAAATAACTAGATGTGCACATGGATACAGAGTATGTGCAATTCTTAAAAACGCGTAAAGCAGTGGGTGATTCTGTACTTTACCCAAAATTCTATTGCCGACTTTTTGTCATGGGCAATTCCCAAATTGTTAAATCCATAGGATATCAAAAAAGGATTTAAAAATTAAACTAGTATTTCAATCGCGTCTTAAGAAATATGGAACTACATAAACTTACGCAATCTGAAATCAGCGTGTACGTGAGATTTGGCGCGCTGTTAAATGGGCACGTTTGCTAGATTTGGCGCTTGTGCGCGTACATTTTCGCTGCAATTTTTTACGGTCCTCGAAACCGAATAGTATCCATACGGATTTAAGAACACAGTACAGCCCATATTACTTTTGATTAAATAACATGTGTTAAAAGTTAACTGTGGCATAAATTTTGCTGTATTCTTAAAACATACCAAAAATAACTTTGTAATTAAACATTCTACTGATTACAATGCACCTTAACATACTGCTATATATAAAACACTCAATACATTAAAATTTTTATAATACATATTACATTGAACACTGCACTATATTTAGGACACCTTACAGAACTCATTTCTACACTTAATGCACTGTGTGTAGTGGCTACATATTACATTGAAGATTACTCTTGATTAAATAATATAGGCAGTGGTAGTAAGTCTTGGTTATATATAACATAATTCTTAATACAAAAAGCTTATAAAAACACTGTTAGAAATACACATTGAGGGAAAAAATTGCAGATTAAATTAATTGCAGTTAAAAAATTACATGTGCTAGATACATTAAATACCGTATTTACCATGCACTATACATTTCATAATATGCACGTTAACACATTGCTATTGATGTACGTGTGAGTAACACGTGCATACGAAAATATCCCTAACAAAATACAACAATAGGAAAGCCGAAATCTTAGTAACTACTAGACATAATTACAACTTAATATTTCAAATTTAATAAGCTCTTGAATACATTACAGTTGCCGGGTACATTATAACGGCTTAAGAAATTCAGAGCACAGCACAGATGCGAGTACACAAGTTCACATATCTCGGCGAAGCAGAGACGCACACATTTGTTGAAGTAGTTCCACTTGACTGCCGGGGAAAATTCTTCTCTCCCCGTCAGCCTGTAGGTTTGCCAAACGGGTTTACTGTTTCGCCAATTGGCGCTTTTCTGTACAGTTTTTAAGTCCGTATCGCCTGTTTGGCGCTGCCGCTGCACTATATACAAATCACTCAAAACACTAAAATTTACAGAATGCAAAAATATTTACATACATATAACTACTATAATAATTACTACTATAATATTTACATGCTGTGCTCTTGAATACATTAAGTTGTAGTACTACAGTTATAATTATTATGCTTCCTGCGGCTCAAAGCATAGCTCTGCATGCTACGAGCACTTACGCATTTTACCAAGGTACTATACACAGTGTGTTGTACAATACATTATTCACAATACGCTGCACAATATTCTATTTATAAAATGCACATGCTTACAATATTGCACCCATGCATTAATATGCTCATTACAAATATACATACTTGAACTATTTACATTTGGATAATATTAAATCATATTTACATTTGTTTTTCGTGTTCACAGCCTAATGTTACTCTGCGTACTGACTCAAGATGGGCTTCTTGCAGAGGCCACTGGAAACCAGTGTGCATTGATGCTTTGAATCTCTGCGAAATTTAAGTCTGTTATTGTGGGCTGCATAATTCTAGTCCTAGTGCTTCAAGTTTGTTCATAATGCTTTTGAGCTTCTTGAGATACACCGGCTGCTTAATGAAAAAGGGTTTATAAGCAATGTCAGTATCAGGAAGCCTCATGTGCCATTCTTCCGTGAGAGGGCAGGATGTAACGTAATGATCAGGTGTACCTACTTCATTACAGACACAATGATCAGTTGTTGATATTCCCCTTTGATAGAAATATTGGGGAAATGGTCCGTGGCCTGTAATGAAACGGGAAAGAAAAGGGGCTGAGATGAGTCGATCTTGGGAAACTCTATGGACAAAGTCATGGGTTCTACGGCCTTGCGATATAGAGTCCCATTCCTCTTGCCATTGTTGCTGCTGCGATTTAATGCGACAGACTCGCTTCAGATAAGATTTGGGAAGCGGGATCTGGACATCTTGCGCACCGATATTCTTTGCAGCTTCCTTTGCAAGAGTGTCTGCATCCTCATTGCCTCTGTGGCCCGCGTGTGCTTTAATCCATAAAATCTGGATGTTGCAGTCATGCGCATTTTCTTTGAGCAGGCATTGTATATCTGCTATGATCGGTGATGGATGGAATGGATCACGAAGAGCAAAGATTGCCGACTGACTATCTGAGAAAATGCAAACTTCTGGGTCAACAAACTTCATAGCTGCTGTTATAGCCTGGCGCAATGCTACTGCTTCAGCTTGGAATACCGATCTATTAAGTCCAATGTATCCTTTCCAAGTTTCTAAGACTTTATCATGATAATGAGAAATAAAAGCGCAGCCTGCCTCTTCGTTGATTTTTGAGCCATCAGTGAATATGCTGATGGTATTTGCACCGCCTGTGTCTCTTACCCGTAAATCCTGAGATATAGAGGTATGGGCACAAATGCCCAACCCATAACTAGCGGGATGAACTTTGAGCTGAGAATTTTTGTTCTCAAAGTCTGATGGTACAAATGTAGTTCCCCTAAATGAGGCTGACTTCCTAAGAAGCATGACAGTAGAGACAGTTGCCTCTTGTAATGCGGCTATTGGCAGAGGAGTAAGTCCAGCTAGAACCGCTGCCGCTGCTGTGGCCGTTGTCCTGTATGTTTTCATGATAGCAAGGACGAAAGGTCGTTGAATGCTATTAAGTAAATTCAATTTCCTCGCAGTCATGGGTAGGGCCCAAATAGCTGCCCCATACAAAACTATTTTTTCTACTACTACCGTCTTGTAAATAGTCTTGAGGAAGTGGGGTCGTAATCCCCAATCTTTGCCCTGCATATTTTTAATTCTAGTTGCTATTCTTGTGGCTTTGACCCTTTGGGCTTGCAAGTGAGGAATCCAAGTGAGGTTTTCATCCAAGATGAGGCCAAGGAGTTTTAGCTCCTTGACCCTCTTGACCGTCACTCCTCTTAGCTTGATGCACGGGTTCCTTATGATGGTTTGTTTAGGCTTGTGAAATATAATGTATTTAGATTTTTCCTGTGATATTTTAAAGTGTTTTTCAGTGCAGAGGTTTTCAAAGAGCGAGATAACCTCGTTGCAGTTTTTCTCCAATTCGTCCTGCTGTGGCCTCGAACGATGAAAGTGGCATCATCTGCAAAGGCTACTGTCTTTGTATGCGACGGCCAACGCGCATTCAGTATGGAGTTAAAGTGACATTCCAGAGATCTGGTCCAGCGCATGACCCCTGTGGACAGCCTCGTATTTGCTTTTTCTTCACTATGCCGCCATTATAGACCACGGTAAAAGTGCGGTCGCTGAGATAGCTTTTAATTACTTGTAGTAGATTATTAGGCACGCTTGCCGCATGTAAAGCTTCAATGATGGCAGGCCACCACAGGGAGTCAAACGCACTCTGTAAGTCAAGGCTGAGGACGGCCGCATGCTGGTTATCTTCTTTGATCTTTTGAACTTCATCTTTAACAATGTCAAGAGCGTTAAGAGTGGAACGGTTCTCCCTGAAGCCAAACTGCGCCTCTGAGATGTGGCCAGACAAAGTTAAATGATGCTTGATCCTGAGTATTGTCAGCTTTTCATAAATTTTGCCTAAAGCCGAAAGAAGACAGATGGGCGAAAGGAAGAAGGATCTTCTTTGTCTCTTCTTCGGATTTCTGAAATAGGACCACTTGCCCGATCTTAAAGGACTTAGGAAAATATTGCAGAGAGAGGAGCTTATTGAAGTAGGTGACAAGAAATTTCGGATTCGCTCTGTGCACCGCTCTAATGATATCGTAATCTAAAGAATCGGGACCTGGAGCTTTCTTCTTCGGCAGATTTCGCATAATTGCATTTACTTCTGTATCAGTATAAGGTACATCATTTGGAGTGCCTGATATAAGTGAGAACGCCGGATGCAATTGCAAGTCTGATGTGTCATCCTCATCTGAGGGAAAAACCGCATCTAGGATTCTTCTTATGGTTGCTTCCATAATACCTGACTCTCCATAGGCATGACCATAAAAGGTGTGATGTAGAGTCGGTTTAAAAACTTTTTCGCTGGCTATTTGGTGCAGAATCCCATAGGTGTCTCTATGATCAGTGCAGAATTTTTTCCAGCTTTTCAAGTTTGGCCCGTAATATGGCCTTTTTATACTTGGCCTGCGCTTTATTATATTCTATGGATAGTAATTGTCTAGCTTCCTGATCTCTTTCTGCTTTCATGCGCCTGCGCATAGCTCTGGTACGGCTACGCTGTGTTCTGAGGTCCCTGGTCCACCAGTTTGCAGCGTGTAGCATTTTGGGGGTTTTCAGCGCAAAGGTGCTGTCACAGATAATTTGGAGGTCACTGATCAAATTATTGGTCAATTCTTCCGCGTCTTTGACTGTTATGGTGTTTGGCAGCTCCATTAATAATCTATTTAGGATTGGACGTGCTTTCCTAGAAAATTGAGTAGTTTTACTTCTGGTAAGCTTATAGCGCTTCATTACTAGCCTTTCATGCTGTTGGTTTATACTGTAGGTAATGTACCTATGATCTGAGTTGGTAATTGGAATCCTCAACTGTCCAATTTTTTATCTTTGGGGGTCAGGGCTGCAGATGAGAGCGTTAAATCTGGCCACCCTTTGCCATTAACGGTTTCAAACGTAGGCAGGCATTCAGGCTCATTATGAATGGATAGATCATTACTTGCCACAAAGTCTTCTACTGCACGTCCTCTCAGATCCGTATGTGGATATCCCCAGGTTTCAGAATGCGCATTAAAGTCCCCCGCAAGAAGGGGCTGTTTGTTGGGGTAATCAGCCAGAATTCTTTGTTGTAGATCTAGTGATTCAGTAATGTCTACCGTGGGAGGGATGTAGATGTTAGTAACTAGTATTCTAAGATTGTTTGCCTCAATCGTCATTGTTACTGCATCTCTGGTAGCTTTGATGATAGTGGGTGCCCATTTTTAATTACAGCAAATAGTAGCTACCCTTGGGCCTTCTCCATCATGTGATTGGATGATGGTCCACATTCAAATTTTTACAACCAAATATTAGAGCCTTGCAGTTATATTAAAAGAAATTAAATTTTGAAGAATTTGCATGAATGTACACTGCGCAAAAAAAAAAAAGGCGAAAAAAAAGGCAGGCAGTTCTATATCTCCCGTTCTACTGGCCCGTCTGACAAAATTCAATTTGCATTTTTCATGTATCGAAAGCGCGACTTAGAATATATATTAGATTTATATATAGCATTGTATTTTGACATAAAATCGAACTTTTTCTGAAATAACATACCAATGTTTTTCCATATTTCGATTCTACAACTCAAATTATGACTAGATATTAAATTTTGTAAAATTTGGTGCGAAATTTACGGAGAAATTCGAAAACTTATTTTGACACAATTTTTTCAGTTTGCGCCAAGAATAATTCACTTGGCGAACTTCTTAATATATGGCAACCAATTTTCCTTTCCCTTCCATTATGCCGGAGCGGAAAAAAATGAGCATCGTTTCTACTTTCAAAGAACTTTAGCAAAGTGCCTAAACCACATTTGATGTTTTATCGCTTTCAACAAAATTGGTTGCCAAAATGCACCAATATATTTACGTAGATCTTCCGAAGTTTTGAATAAAAAACCTGTAATTTTTTTAAGGTATGCTTAGAAATATGTCTACTTTAAGATGATGGGGAAAATTTTATAGATTATAATTCAATTTTTTTTTTGAAAAATTTATAAAAATTATTTAAAAAATACAAATTCTAAAAATAAATCATAAAAATGGGTGAATTTTATTTGGAATGAATCTGAATTTTGAAATGTGAAAGGAAGAATCAAATAAGTTTATTAAAAAAGAGAGAGATAAATAAATACAGTATATCAAACTCATTTAACACTGACGAGCTAAAATTCTGAGAGCTAAATTTTTAAAAACTACTCGTACGATTTTAGCAAAACTTGTAGTTTGACGTTGTTTAAGTCATAGAATGGAAATATGGAAAAAATTGTAGCTTGACGTTGTTTGATTCATAGAATGGAAATATGGAAAAAAATGTGTATGTTATTTCAGAAACAGTCCGATTTTCTGTCAAAATATCTATATTAGAACAATGTTATATATAAATCTAATACATATCTTAAGTAGCTCTTTCGATACATGAAAAAGACAAGTTGAATTTCGTCAGTCAGCCCAGTTGAACAGGAGATATGGAACTGTCCCATCCCTCCTCCGCAGTGTACGTATCTCGCATTGTGAAAAAACAACGGTGTCTATACTAACGGTAGACATCACATTTTGACTAATGTAGTCCTCTACTGGAATCTGGAAGTATCCTGGGGTATCTGGAAGACCAAATTTGGAATCTGGTTTATTATTATTTCATATTTTCTAAAACTTTAACGAATTTTTGATTAGCAATCTCAAGGATTTCAAAGCAAGCAATAAAGACACTATACGAAAAGGTCGCGAGACTGCGTTTAGGAAATTCTAAAGATATGCTGTTTTAAAATATCTTGTGATATTATTATTGAATTGGATTTTATTCTTTAAGTACGAAGAACATGATATTTAATAAATAAAGGTAATACACAAAACGCCCCTTTGGGCGTATTACAAAATCTGAAAACTTTCAGATTTTTTTTTCCTTTTTTTACTTTACTGTGCCTCTGAGCAAGCTTACGAAGTTTGTAATATAACTATATTCGATGAGGAGCTCATAAAGTGTAACATTTATATAGTAGAATCTAATATTCTGTCGCTTTACAACATCGAGCTAACAATTCGATTCCCTTAAACGGCAGAATTCATTTATCATGTTTTCGGCTCAAGAAATTTAATAAATAGGCTTTTCGAACCAGCATCTAAAATTTGCATTCATCATCAAATTCCAGCAACTGGTTTTGAATCTGTTAGTAAGCTTATTGCATAGAATCAGTAAACTCCTAATTTTATTGATTTCAGATATCACTAACTACCCTTCATATTATGGTATTCATTTCAAAATCCTTTCAAGAAATGGGCTATTTTTCTCCGCTACTTCTCTATTAAAGCAATTTCAAGAAATATTTCCTTTCATATGTTTTAATTCATTAATACCTTTACCTGTTTTCTTTTAAATTTACAGTAAAATTTAAATATTTAGTGATGCAATCAAAATATAAATATAATGCCATATTTAGTGTTATCTATGCGTTACTAACACCATATTTGTCATTCCTGTTTAAGTCATATCCTATTCCTTTTAAGAAATGGAAACGGGCTTAGTTAAAAGAGAAATTAAAAAGAACGAATGAACGGGCAGCAATTTTTCCTGCTATCACTGTGATTTTTTAAGTTATTAAAACCAATGTATTTGCGACATTTTTCTAGCTAATACTTGCAACATGCTTTAACGTCACTAATAAAATAATGATTAATTTAACTAACAAAAACGGACACTTGTCGCTCAGACGGTGTAGTGATTAGGGAAGCCTACTGCAGTACCAAAGAGCCCAAGTTCGAAGCCCTTAGAAGGCATGGATGGTTGTAAATGTATAGGCTTTTTGCCACATGAGGGCACACTAAATGTCTGGCGAACTGAAAGTCCTCTCGTGCGAGCTGGGGATAGAAGAGAAGGGTGAGAGATCCTTGGACTACTCTTCGGGGTCTCTTCCTCAAAATTGGGGTGGAAGTAAAAATCCATCCTCCGCGAGTCTCTGGCAACCATTCTTTCATGAAATTCAACACAACAACACGGACACTTGACGAAATGCTATACTTCGAATAAGAAAAATTAAAAAATATATATATTATTTAAATTCAATCAAGTTGTTCATTTTTAATTTTTTTAGTGTTATCTTCTGTTTCTTTTGAAAAATAAATGCATAATAATATAGAAAGAGAAAATCGATAAAATGGAAAAGAGCCACGAATTTCGAAATTTCTAACTTTGAATGAAACTAGTTTCCAAATACAGTATATCTTCTCTAAAAAAAGTCTTCTCTTATGCTGCATTTTTACATAAAACGTCAACAGTTTTAGATTTTCTACTTTTATTTATCATTGAAGTTAAAAACAGAATACCATTTGTCACAAAACGAAAACTGACCATGATGAATGACAAAAATAAAGCTATGAATAAAAAAATAACAAAAAAAGGAACAAAATTACGTTTTATGGTTACTGAAAACTAAGTTTATGATTAAGTGTTTTATAGATACTGGAAGTATTTTTAATTCCATTAACAGCATCATAGTTGATTTTTCCTTTTAGAGAATAAAAGCTATATGGAAGGACAGACATTCCTGTTTCTGAAAATATCATCACCATGAAAAAAAAAAATCGTATGAATTATTTTTAACTTGCATGAAATGCAAATCAGTGTGTAGTATGCAAATAATTAAAATTTCAGAGTACAACGCATGCGTCGGCTGAGCAGTTTTCTTGAATTTTACTTTTAACGATATAAATAGACCGTTACAGCGGAACGTTAAGGAAAGAGAAAAAAAAAATGAATGATTGTTTCCTCAAAAAAAGGCTTCCAGAAATAAAACTGCATATTTTTATTCTATGAACAAGAAGAAATATTACTAAAGAACAATCAACATTAGGCCATAATCAACGAACCTGTTTAAATTAGACTTACTCATGTAAGCTAAAATCTGGGTACTATTCCGTTTTGAAGACCGTAAAAAAAATTGCGGCGAAAATGTATGCGCAAAAGCACCAAATCTAGCAAACACGCCTATTTTAACAGCACGCTAAATCTAGTGTACGCGCTGATTTCAGATTTCGTAAGTTTATATAATTCTATATTTATTAAGACGACGAAATACTAGTTTAATTTCTAAATCCTTTTTTGATATCCTATGGATTTAACAATTTGGGAATTGCCCATGAAGAAAAGTTTGCAATAGAATTTTGGGTAAAGTGCAGAATCACCCACTGCTTGACGCGTTTTTAAGAATTGCACATACTCGGTATCCATGTACACATCGACCTATTTTCACTTAAAAAAAATCTCA